GTTGTCCAAAGAAAAGTAATTACAGGCCCAAAATAAAATGTCTGGGCGACTGCCCTGCTAAAATTTGTATTATAGTCATCTTTTTGTTATTTCTAATTATCACATAAAGCAAAAAGGATAATGTTATCTCCCGTAAACAGCAATGTAAGACAAATCGGCCCTCGGGAAACTCATTCCAGAACGACCTTGACTACTTGTCAAGTCAAGGGCAATAACTAACAAAAACACCTAAAGTATGTCAACTTCGAACTTCACCAAGATTTTATTATAAATAATCACACCAAATTTCATTTAAATCAGATGAAAACTGCAGTCTCTATTGTATTCACAAACAAATTTTGACACGTTTTTCATAGGTCAAGGGCAATAACTCAAAAGTCAGACACGATATTTCAGTGAAAAATTATCAGATCATCACGAAAATCAATAGGGATCATCTTCATAACAACATTGACATACAAAATAAAAATCAAAAGAATCCATAAAGAACTGTAGCCTGTAGAGTGAGCACGAGCCAAATGTGAACGGACGGACGGACGGACCGACGGGGTGATTACAATATATGCCCATCTTACGTGTGGGCGTATAAAAATAAAGGAATTAGATACCGATACCATACACTGGGCCCGGGGGAAATTATCAAGCTTCATGTTAAATTAGCACCGCCCGAAGTTATGATTAGCGCGAGGATTCTTAAAACCGAAAGTAAAAAATTATGAAAGTAAGAAATTCATTGGCTGATGTGAATAGACATCTTTTATAGTGAAATTTTTTCGATGCCTTATTTTTCTTTTCTTAGAATTCTTTAACAAGATATGTTTTAATTATCTATTGTTTTACGGCTTTATCGTTCCATGATAAACACCAGAAATATAAATAATTTCTATGGCCTATTTGAATAATAAGAATTCTTAAATAGTTGTTCACCTGTCTGTATTGCAGTCGAGAAAACATCGTAAATTGTCGTTTTTTACATGCAATTTTCTATTGAAAATACCGAAAATGTACGGTACAATTTCTGGAGTTATATCACATTTTTTATGAACACACACTTGCAATAACCAAGTTTATATAATAAAGTCGATAGTATTTCGATAGAAAATGTTCATCATTCTTCTAAAGATAGCTTGCCAGGCAAGGTAACATACGCCCACTGGCAGCTGTCAGAAATGATTAAACAGTCTTTAGTGACTACAGGGTTGCACAATATAGCTAAAAGAGTGAAACGTCAAGTCAGACACGATATTTCGGTGAAATATTATCCGATCATCGCGAAAATCGATAGGGATCATCTTCATAATGACATTGACATACAAAATAAAAATCAAAAGAATCTGTAAACAATTGTAGCCTGTAGAGTGAGCACGAGTTGCACAATATAGCTAATAGAGTAAAACGTCAGGTCAGACACGATATTTCGGTGAAAAATTATCCGATCATCATGACAATCGATAGATCATCATGAAAATCAATAGGGATCTCATCTTCATAGTGAAACGTCAAGTCAGACACGATATTTCGGTGAAATATTATCCGATCATCGCGAAAATCGATAGGGATCATCTTCATAATGACATTGACATACAAAATAAAAATCAAAAGAATCTGTAAAAAATTGTAGCCTGTAGAGTGAGCACGAGTTGCACAATATAGCTAATAGAGAAAAACGTCAAGTCAGACACGATATTTCGGTGAAAAATTATCCGATCATCACGAAAATCAATAGGGATCATCTTCATAATGACATTGACATCTTACGTGTGGGCGTATAAAAACTAACTGAACATTATGAAGCTAACCAGCAGTTTGGAATGAACAGTCCTTGCTCCGTATAACTTCATAAATTGAAGTGAATGATTACATATGCCGAAGGTCAGGGTGAAGTATTATCATATATTAACAAAATAGAGCAATGAGAAAAAATAGTACTGAAACGTTCATAAAAATGCAGCAAAAATATTTTACTTGCCCCAAAAATTTTCAGGCACTGCACTTACCTATCTGAGGAACTGGAGGCAGTCGATACAATAGTTGATGGACCTCCTACAAATAACAACATTTATAATAAATATTCTTCTTGGAATGTCATATGCCCAATTAACAATATACAATGAAACAAAGATAGCTTGCCAGGCATGCCAAATTTCACTGTAATCAGAGTGAAACTGTAGTCTAACAAATTCTACACATTTTGACTAGCGGTAAGTTAAGGGTAACAACTCAAAAACCGTCAATTGAAAAATCGCAAAATTCAAACTTAAGAGAGATCTTATCAATTCCAAAGCTCACACCCAGTTTCATCAAAATCCATTGAAAATTGTAGCTTCTATTGTGCCAACAAGAAATGTTGACAGACAGACAGGGGTGACAGCAATGTATCACCAGATTTTCATGTGGACAAATAAAAATGTAAATTTGTATCCATGTTTTCCACAGAACAATTATAAAATAACATGTTGACAGAAAGAAACTTACCAACAGTAAAAGATGGAGGGTCTGTTGAAGAGCCTGCAGACATAGCATTGGATTCAACTTCATCAAATGAGAGTAGAAATGCTAAATTAGTTTGATTAGAACCACCTTCGTTTCTAAAATAAAAATCAATATCAAAGATAAAGGAAAAAATATGTTAAGGGGTTTCAATAAATTTCCAAAATGACTCATAGTGCATTAACCATCAAATGTACTACCTAATCAAGTATCTTCAAAAAAGGAAAATCCGGTAAATTGGCAGAGTAAAAGTAAAGTTTATCTTGCTCTCCGATTTTTTAAAGTTTTTACTACTAAATATATTGTGATACTTCGACCAAAAGTGTGTGGAAACATTTATAACCATCAAGCTATCAAGTGTGTGTTTTTCCTTCGACATCCATAAAATTATAGCTGATATCTTTGGAAAAGAAAACTTGTATTTTTCCTCAAGCAATAGTCTATAGATAATTAATTTCCAAGATGCCTCTACCGACAAGATCATCATCAGGAAATAAGACCAACCCTTCAAATGCAGAAACTGATGAAGAAAATATAAATATGGGGAAAATACTCTCAGAACTGAATGATATAAAATCAACTCTGAAAGAATCCATCAACAAGAACGAAATAGTTAACATTGTAAACACCATTGTGAGTAAACTTTTGGATTCCTTCAAACTAGATGTTCTGGAGCAAACTAGCAGCAAAACAGACCAACTTCAAGAGGATGTAAACTCAGTAGCTGTGGAAAATGAACTCCTGAGAGAAAAGGTTAGATTGTTGGAAAAGTCTGTGACAGATTTAAAAAACCAACTATCAGTTGTGGATACCAGATCAAAGGATGCACTGAAAACATCAAACTATAATGAACAATACTCCAGGAAACACAATAATTGTGCAGTGTATGCTAAATCTTCTCAAGACAGTGAAAAACTGAAATTTGTAACATGTTATTCAACCAGTTCCCATCACCTTTACATAGTTTACAAATTTAGATTTAAAAACAACAATCCTTTACACTTATCTATAATATTGATATCCATTCAATCTCATAAATATGTCACAATTTTGTGGTGTTAGCCATATTATGTATTAATTTGCTCCAGATCAAATGGATCTTTTTGTTTCAGGCTGCTTCTTCTTTATCCCTGTCAGACCACAAACCCATTTATACACAAATTATGTCATGAGAAATTTAAAACTTGATAATGCAATGAATTTGGCAAATAATGTTTAATGCACTCAAGAACATTGAAAACTAAAATTTGACATGTAAAATATTACATGATGAAAAGTAATTGCCTCCCTCCACTTAAAGTGATTTAATCTATATTGTCTTGTGGCAAAATATTGCCATCTCAACTTATGGAGACATTGCTACCCTTTAAAATGGTATCTAGGAGCTCATGAATATGCAGCAATTTTGGTATATCCTATCCAATGTAGATAATAATTACAAAAGTCAGTTATTATTTTGATTATTTTATTTATCACTCCTGTCACATAACAATTAATTCTTATATTATTCTCCTATACCAATAATATTTTTTAGATCAACCAGTTTTTTGCCATTTGAAATTTAGAACTTGAAAATGTATGATAAGTAGGAAGTATTTCCCATGAGAGTTAAAATTCGATCCGTTGATGTTATATATTGTACGTAATATATACCGTCACTCCCCCCACCCCCTTTCATGGTCTCAACTTACCATAGCACTAGATGTTATTTTTGCATTGTTCATAACTATTCTATTTATAGACAAAACAACAGGAAAGTAAACTCTTAAAATTCTTTCTTTTAAACTATTCAAATTCATCAACTGTCAACCTAATTTCAGTTTTTTTGGTACCAAAAATTAGATCTTGCTTCGAAGATGGAGATGTATAAACTGTGTGAAACCAGTAACGGTTGGTCAAAGGGGTAGCCTAAATTTATTATTTCGATACAAAATTGGTAAAATTTAAAAACTACTATTTTTGGTATTCACAGTATAAGACATTTGCCAAAATCGATTCTCTCCCCTTTTTAAAGAATATCTTCGTAAATAATTATGTTTTTTCTGTTTTTTTGTCCTATTATATTTACTTGTATGATCTGTTCTTTTGACATATTACAATATATTTCTTTTTATTGTCCGGAAGCAATACTGAGGTTGAAGTGTGCACAACTAATGTGTAACATACCATATTTGGCGCGCTTGTTTCTCAGTTACCTGCTCTCCTACTTTTCTTATTCTCTTCTATCTGTATGTAATGTCACTGTCCTTTTTGCCTGTCTTCTTGTCCGTCAACTCTATTTACAGTAATCCTGTCTTTAAACAATAATGAGTGATATCAGTATTATGTCAGTAAATTGTCAGTGCTTAGGAGATTCCGCAAAAAGAAGAGATGTTCTAAATCTATTAAAGTCTTAGAATTATAATATTTACTGTCTCCAAGACACACATTTTTGTCACCTTCAAGAAAATTTTATTCAAACCCAATGGGGTTACAATTGCTCATTCCATTCATATCGAACAAATGCTAGGGGGTTAGCCATACTTTTTAATAATAATTTCAATTTCAAGTTACATAACACCTTTCGCATTGAACATGCACTCTTTTTAGACCTTTCCATTGAAGATTTTAGATTGACTCTAATAAATTTATACGGACCAAATGATGATAATCCAAAATCTTATGACACGCTATTTGAGACTATAGAACTTATTGGAAATCAAAATTTTATTATCTGTGGCGATTTTAACCTTGTTTTAAACCCAGACTTAGATTGTAAAAATTATAAACACATAAACAACCCGAAAGCGCGCGAAAATTTTTTAAAATGGATGGAAGTGTATGATATAAGAGATGTGTTCAGAGATTTATATCCCTCCCTTATAAGATATACTTGGCGTAAAAGAAATCCTCAAAAACATGCAAGCCTTGATTATTTTTTAACTTCAACCGGCCTCGTACAATTTTTATCAAAACATAAATTTGAAAACAGCTATCGGTCTGACCATTCGGGAATTGTTTTACAACTTAAATTTAAAAAGTTTTTAAAAGGAAACGGAATTTGGAAATTTAACAATAGCCTACTTTCTGATTTAAGTTATGTTCAATGTATTAAAGAAAGAATCAAAATGATTAAAATTCAATATGCTTTGCCTGTTTACAATATAGCTAATATAGAACTTATACCAAATAACGATTTATGTTTTACTATAAACGATCAAGATTTTCTTGAAGTGTTATTAATGGAAATCAGATCAAAAACAATTTCATTTTCAGCATACAAAAATAAATGTAGAAGAGAGAGAGAAAATAAAATTGAAAATGAAATACTATTATTAGAAGATTGCATAACAAACTCTGAAGTAGACAAACTTGACTCTTTAAAACAAGAATTAACAGAAATTAGGAATGAAAAATCAAAAGGACATTTTATGTGGAATTCAAATTATCGCAATATGCCGATGATACGTTTATTTTAGATGGCACTCCAGAATCTATTAAGGCCACTTTAACCATTTTAGACTTTTTCGCTGACTTATCCGGTTTAAAAATAAATTTTTCAAAAAACAAAGGCAGTATGGATTGGCAACAAGAAATTTTCACAAGAGGTTTACCACCACGGTAAATGGAAACTTTCATGGGGGTCAGACAATTTTGATTTTTTAGGTTTTAGATTTACTACAGATTTAAATAAATTATCAGCTATAAATTACGATTCAAAATTAGATTCTATAAATTCACTTATAAATCAATGGTCAGTCCGCTATCTAACTCCTTTAGGAAAAATTACTGTTCTGAAGTCTTTGATTATTCCAAAATTAACTCATCTATTTATTTCGCTTCCAGATCCAGACACATCCTTTATAAAATCACTCAATACAAAATTTTTCAAATTCATCTGGAATGACAAACCCCATAAAATTAGTAGAAAATCAATTAAACAATCTTATGAAAAAGGTGGTTTGAACATGGTAGATTTAGGTAAATTTGTAATTTCGTTAAAATCAACTTGGATAAAACGACTTGTTACGTCAGAGAGAAAGTGGGTACAATTATTTGAATGTAGTACTGGTCTTAAACGTAACAGTACTTGGCAATTCATATATAGAACTGAACGTGGAAGATATTAAAAATCATTTCTGGAAAGATGTCTTAAAATGTTGGATTCAAATTAACGAAAAAAATAAGCCGAAAGACAAAGCAAATTTTGGTAAAACAGTAATTTGGCGAAATCATTCTATAAAACTTGATAATAAATCTATGTTTTACTCAAGATATTTTAACCATAATATTATTTTTATCTCCGATCTCTGGAATGAAGATGGAGATTTTGTAAATTTTAATGAGTTCCAACATAAATATCCTAGTTTATAAACAAATTTTTTAGAACACATCTCTTTGATAAAAGCAATTAAATCATATATGAATACGATTAATATAGAAGGTCCTACTACAACTATATGTCGCCCTTTTGTCCCGTTTCATTTAGAACTACTGTTTGAGAAAAATAAAGGCAATAGCCATATTTATGATATATTAAGAGAAAATATTTCTATAAAATCACAAATTAAATATTATACGTTAGGCTATAGAGTGTGTGATTGGAGTAAAAACTATATGCTTCATTTTAATATTTCAAAGAATTCCAAGATAAACTGGTTTCAATATCGTATTTTACACCGTATACTACCCGTAAATTATTTTCTTCATAAAATAAAGATCATTTCGTCAGAGTCTTGTACCTTTTGCCACCAACAACCTGAAACTTTAGAACATCTCTTCTTTGATTGTTCATATATTAAAATACTCTGGGATAAACTTATGAATATTATCAATGAAACTACTATTCTCCATATGGATGTATTAACGTTAGAAATTATTATGTTTGGCTCAAATTCTTTAATTGTACCTCTAAATTGGCTTCTTCTGCATTCGAAATTTTTCATTTATAGGTCAAGATTTTTAAAAAATAATACCAACTTTCCCAGCTCTAATTAAATATCTCATCGATAATATTGTAGTTGAAAGATATCTCCAAATGAAAATAAATAACGAAACTTTAAATGGCAATTGGGATATTCTATTTGAAACTTTACAAGAACTCAAAATATCTTCAAAAAAAAATTAAACATCAGATTCTAACCAAAGCATAGTAACAGAGAGTATTAAGTCTTTTATTACACATTAACTAAATTCTGCAATTCTACAGAAATTCAGATTTAGTGATTGATTTTCATTTGTTTGTCTTACCTTCTAGGAGCATCAGGTGGTATTGGAGTAGGATGGTGTATAGAAGGAGTAAGAAACTGATCAGTAGATGTAGGTATAACACTAGATGTTACAGTTGTTGTTGAGGTAGGAGTAGAGAAAGTAGTACTAGTAGTGGAACTAGTTATTGATGGTGATGCTACTGATGTTGTTGTTGTAGTAGTAGTTGTTGTTATAGGTGAAGCTAACACTTCTTCAACAACAACTGATGCAAGTCTTTCTACAGCAGCTACTGCTTCACTTACACCTGAGAGAAAAACAGAGTGAAAACTTTTTGTTTTCAATTATATTATCTTCTGAAGTCACAAATGCCTCAATCTTGAACATGCTAATATTGTTGCACAAACAATGTTATCTTATTTGCATAACAGCATAATATTTCTGCTATAGAATCGCGTATGAGGATTAATCATTCAAAACCTTAAGAAACCTCTCTGATCGGCATCAATGGCTCCCTAAATGAACACAATAACCACCATAAGTGAAATCATACTTACTGATCTGAGTACCAGTATTGTCTATAGCTGTTATAGATGTAGGAGTAGATGTTGGTGGTGTTAGTATACCAGTACTAACACTGTTACCCTGTAATATATCGACTGAACTACCATCACTATTCTCTATTGTACTACTTGTAGCCTGAAATATTTATCAATAACAGATAATCTATTTTCATAAGATGGGCAAACTTCCACAGTGAACTGATCTATCATGAACACCTCTTGCCACTCTTGAGATTATCAGGCAAAGGAACATCTGCAGTTTAAAATCAGGTAAAACATCAACTAAATTAAACAGACTTAAACAGAATTACACAGGCATATCTTGACAAATCAACTACATTATAAAACCTCACCTCTGGGACAGGAGCATTAACATCATTTTGTTTTTCTTGCTTCTCTTTTTCCTTCTTTGCAGCATCTTCTTCAGCAGCTTTCTGTCTAGCTTTACGTCTCTGGGCCAAGTCTGCATCTCTACATTTCATCATATAATCTATTATTTCTGGCTTTACAACTGAAAACAAAATCTGAATTAAGAATGATGGAGTGAAATGGCTGATAGATGAAAAATTGTAGTGATTATTAGATTACAAGTCTAATGTCTAATATAATAACATAAATTTATGTACACTTACTGTTAACACAGTCATGTACACTATCAGAGTCTAGTACTTTACTCTCTTCTGTCCACCTAGTTAGTGTTGATGGTATACATGATAATACGCCAGTTCCAGCAGCTCCACTTTCAGGATAGGGATCCTACAATGAAATCATCAGTTATATACAACCATTTAGAAAAAGGGAAATTTTTCACATTTTGGTATCCAAAAGCTATTCAGGAATAAAATACTCAACTAAAATTCAACTAATTATTCATAAAGTAGCAAACAACTTAGTATAACTATAAAACCAACCTGGAATAATTCATCAAAGATATCTTCTTCTTGTCTGGAAATTAAACACCTATCATCATTAGCTAGAACAACTCGGGTATGTGTTGGTCCACTAGTTTGAGTTGTTAATGTATTGGTTAGTTGAAGAATATCAGCAGCTGTTGTAGGCCCCAATAATCTATTTAAATTTAATTAGTTTCATAAAATAATATGTTTACATAGTATATTAAAGAACTCGAAATAAATCAATTCTGCATTTCCATCACAAGGAGTTAAATACCAGAATAGTTCTTAAGTTTTCTGAAGAAAACTTGAGAACATGCTCACTTTCACAAATTACTTTCTAGGCACATTTTTAAATATTTCCTCGTCAAGATGAGAAACTACAATGTACAATCATTCATAATGATTCATAATAATAAGGTTTATATGATATACTTACCTCTGTAATATAACTGGAGGGTTTGGTTGACGTGTTGTATTGTTAGTTGGTAAATTAACATGTATTGTTTGTGTATTAGCATTAAATCTATAGGAACCTCTCTGTCTATTTCCACCACGATGTACCCTAGTTACACCCATTAAACTAGGATCATTACTACGTATCAACAATGGATGAGCCACTGGTACATTACCTGGTGCTGGTGGTAATGATGGAACTACAAATAAATAACAATTTCCAACTTTATATGATGCATTATTAAACAGTAGCACAAGATATATAGATATACTATTTCTATCATTTATTAATTCAATGTTTCACAGGCAGTTATCAAGAGAAAACGTCTGTAGTAGCATGTAAAACGTTGAGTTAATATATATGAGAAATAGTATATCTATATGTCTTGTGCTACTATAACTATACCTATTTCTATATGTCTTTCAAATAGCAATATTATACGCTACTTGACTACAAAAATGGCGCTTACTTTTACAAGACAAAAATATTAGAGATATGGGTTTATTTTGATACTCAACCAAGAGTTTTCTTGTACTCAGAAACACACACTATATAAGTAAAATTACCTGTAGATTCATTACCATTATCATTATCATGTATTAATGATGGTAACTGATAAGTACGGAATTGACTATTATCTGTATTAAATATTATATGTTGATTGCCACTACCAGTATCTACAACAGTTAGAATTAAAGTATGAATTTGATACAATATAAGTTGTACAGCAAATAACATTTAATTACAAACATGGATTTGAAGTATCACGTTTAGAAGATATCATACTTACTGGCTGGAAACATATCATCCATGTGTAATAAAAAATCATCATCAATTCCAGGAGCTACAGAATTATCCACTTCTTGATAATCATCATCATCCGCTTCCATATCAGATCCCTGAAACAAAGTACAGATGATATTATTCTGTTGTCATAGATTTATGCATTATATTTAATGCAATATCGTACA